AGAATATCGTTTGTGCAATAGGAGAGTCCAAGGACTTGTCGGTGCTCTTGGTGGAAGAGCTTGTCAGGTCGCTTGAAGCGCATGAGCAGCGAAGAAGGAAGAAGAAAGAGGAGTCCCTTGATCAAGCACTTCAAGCAAAGGCAACCTTAAAGGAGAAGAAGGTTCCTTATGCTCAGAACACTCAAGGTCGAGGTGGTAGAGGCAGAGGAGGATATGAAAAAGGTAAGAAGCAAGTCAGTCAACAAAATTGGCATGGCCGAGGACAAGGTAGAGGTTGTGGTGGTAGAGGCTGAGGTGGTCAGTCAAGTAATTTCGGAGTTGAGTGCTTCAAATGTGGGAAGTACGATCATTTTGTTAAGGACTGCTATTCAAGTATCAAATGTTATAATTGTGGAAAGATTGGGCATTTCACGAAGGAATGTCGATTTGAGAGCAAGAAGGAAACAAATCTCCTCTCTGAGGACGCTGAGGAAGAAAGAGTATTGATAATGTCGAGAAGTTCGGATGTCGAGCTAAGTCCGAACTGTTCTGACAACTCGGTTTGGTATCTTGATACAGGAGCAAGTAATCACATGTGCGGGGACAAGAACCTTTTTAAGGAGCTCACTAAAGTTGAGGTCAGACATGTGTCATTTGGAGATGCATCAAAGGTGGCAGTAAAAGGCAGAGGTACAATCTGGTACCTCAGAAGAATAGCCGAGTTGAAGAAATCAGACATGTGTACTATGTACCTGATCTCAAAAGCAACATATTGAGCATGGGCTAGCTGATGGAGAAAGGCTACTCGGTTCTGATGAAAGACCGAGTACTATACCTGAAGGACAAGTCGGATCGTTTGATTGCCCGAGTAGAAATGAAGAAGAACATAATGTACAAGATGGACTTGAAGATAGTCCAAGAGAGGTGCTTGAAACTTGACATGAAGGATGAAGCAATGATGTGACACTTTCGGTTTGGTCACTTGCATTTTGGCGGGCTGACCGAGTTGGTAAAGAAAGAGATGGTGCGAGGACTCTCGTCTATGGAATTTGAAAAGAAATTTTGTGAAGAGTGTGTGCTTGGGAAGCATCTGAGGACCTCAATTCTGAGGACGGCCAAGTACCGTGTAAATGAACAACTCGGATTGATTCACACAGATCTTTGTGGACCGGTTACCCCTGAGTCCTTCAGTGGAAAAAGGTATTTCATTTCTTTTATAGATGATTTTTCAAGAAAAACCTGGGTATATTTTTTGAAGGATAAATTCGAGGTGTTTGAGGTGTTCAAGAGATTTAAAGCAATGGTTGAGAAAGAGACTGGCATGCCTATCAAATCTGTTAGGTCTGATCGAGGAGGCGAGTTCATTTCATCTGAACTTATGAAATATTGCGAGGAGCAAGGGATAAGAAGATTTCTGACAGCACCATACTCACCCCAACAAAACGGAGTTGTTGAGAGGAAGAATCGAACCATTCTTGACATGGTTCGAACAATGCTAAGAAGAAAAAACGTGCCAAAGGAGTTCTGGGCAGAAGCAGTGCAATGCGCCATCTATGTGCAAAATAGACGTCCACATGCTAAGCTGAACGAGAAGACACCGCAAGAAGTCTGGAGTGGAAGAAAACCGAGTGTGTCTCACCTTAAAGTGTTCGGTAGCATAGCTTATGGTCATGTTCTAGCTCAACAAAGGACCAAGCTCGAAGATAGAAGCAAAAAGTACGTGTTTATTGGGTATGATAAAAAAACCAAGGCGTATAGGTTGTTTAACCCAATAACTAAGAAGGTCATCATGAGTCGAGATGTTCAAATTGATGAAGAAAGCGAGTGGAGTTGGAACAATCCGAAGAAGGAGTCCATAGGAAGTAGAAGCTCAGAAGTTGATACACCACATACTGTGAGAGATCATGAGACTTTTGATGAAGAAGATGAACCTCTACAGCCCAAAGTGCGAAGTTTACAAGATATATACAACTCCACTGACGAAGTTCATGTTGTATGTCTCTTGGCAGATTCAGAAGACGTAAGTTTTGAAGAGGTTGTGCAGGAGAAAAGGTGGAAAAAGGCAATAGACGAGGAGATTGGGGCAATAGAACGCAACAACACATGGGAGCTGACTGATTTTTCCAAAGGAGCGCGGCCTATCGGCGTAAAGTGGGTGTACAAGAAGAAGACAAATGTTGAAGGAGAAGTTGAGCGATATAAAGCTCGACTCGTGGTGAAGGGGTACAAGCAGAAGGAAGGAATATACTATGACGAAGTATTCGCCCCAGTGACGAGAATGGAAACAATTAGGTTGCTTATTTCCTTAGCAGCTCAACATAGATGGACGTGAAGTCGGCATTTCTGAATGGAATCTTGGAGGAGGAAGTATATGTTTAACAGCCACTCGGATACATGCAAAGAGGCGAAGAGAAGAAAGTGCTGAGATTGAAGAAGGCACTTTATGGCTTGAAACAAGCTCCACAAGCATGGAATGAAATAATTGACACTTACTTCAAAAGAAATGGATATGAGTAGTGTCCTTATGAACATGCTCTATACATAAAGAAGAAAGGAGAATATGTGATGTTCGTTGCCCTATATGTTAATGACCTTATCTTCATGGGGAATAATGCCGAGCTGATTGAAGAGTTTAAAGAAGTGATGAAGAAGGAGTTTGAAATGAATGACTTGGGTCTTATGAAGTATTTCCTTGGTTTATAAGTTTTTCAAGGAAAGAATGACATCTTTGTGTCGCAGGAAAGGTATGTTGAGGAGATCTTGAAGAAGTTTAAGATGATAAGTTGCAACCCGGTTTCCACCCCTATGGAACCTGGTACAAAACTTTCTAAGTATGTACATGGAGACCGAGTTGATGCGAGCAAATACCGAAGTCTGATTGGAAGTCTTAGATATCTTACAAATACCTGACCAGATTTAATGCTAAGTGTTAGAATAGCAAGTCGATATATGGAGGAGCCAAAGTATACTCATTGGAAGGCACTAAAGAGAATTCTAAGGTATGTGAGAGGAACAGTGTCACTTGGCCTAATGTATATACTAGGACGGATGATTATCGACTGGTAGGCTACTGACTGGTGTGGAGATGTTGATGACCGGAAAAGCACGTCTGGATATGTATTCTTCATGGGAAACACAACATTCACCTGGCTTTCAAAAAAGCAGCACATTGTAACGTTGTCAACTTGTGAAGCCAAGTATGTTGCAGCATCCTGGAGTGTCTGTCATACAGTTTAGCTTAGAAACCTTCTAAGCAAGCTGGAGTTGAAGCAAGAAAAAGGGAATGTGATTCGAGTTGATAACAAGTCGACCATTGAATTGGAAAAAAACCCGATCAATCATGAGAGAAGCAAACATATTGATGTTCGGTTTCACTTCATCCAAGAACAAGTGAAAGAAGAAAATGTGGAGTTAGAGCACGTCGGAACCCGAGCACAAGCTGCAGATATGTTCATTTAGCCACTACCAACCACTCTATTCGAGAACAGCAAGAAGATGCTTGAAATGAAGGACAAAAAAAACATTTAAGTTTATGGGGGGATTTTGTTAGGTAAACATTAAATATATGTAATTGAGAGGTAGTGGTTATAGAGGTAGTAGTTGTATTGAATGTATGTAGTTGAGAGATAGTAGTTGTATTGAATGTATGTAGTTGAAGGTAGTAATTGTATGCATGTAGTTGAGAGGCTATATCCAAAAGCCTATAAATTGACCATGTACCACTCATTACAAACACATCAAGTGATAACATATAGAGTGTTTTGTTTAGATCCTTGTTTGTCAACAATAACGATGTACAATTAAAACCGTTAAGTTATTTTTTCGTATTAGAATAAATAACTTCATTTTGAATAAAGATATAAGACAAAAATATTGATTTGTTCTCTATCTCTTTTGTTTATATTTATTGATTGTTTCCTGTTAGCTGTAGATCTTGTATAGAAATTCTATAACCACGTTTACTTTTATCACTTTGTTTGTCTGAGCTCCAAGGAAGAACCTAACGTCGAGTTCTTCATACTCCATGCGTTTACAACTTCATCCTGACCGTGTACTCTTTTAGTTTTTCTATCTCTCATGTGTCTGCATTTGGGAGTTTACAACAGGAAGCATAACCACTCATAACCTTCTTTGTAATTGCATCTAACCTTACCTTCTCATGCTTCCACAATTTTATATCCTTTCCATTCTCCAAAATACATAGCATATGCAGCAATGGCATCCTTAAAGTCCTCTTTTACATCCACTTATAACGAACCAATCTCTCTCATGCAATTATCCAATAAGTGTCAAACGATAAACAACCAGTTTTTTTTTTTTTCTGTGTAAAAAAAAAAGTCTTGTTTGGTCATTTTTACGTAAAAAAGAAAAATATTGATAAAATAAATCAATTTTAAAAAGAATATCTTTATATATTTTTTTCAATTATATCACTTCAATCTAAAATAGGTTATTATTCACTATTTTTACTTAAAATAAATTGTTTTTGTTTCTATGAAGTTATTTACTTATTTTTGTCTTATTTGAATAGAAAATACTGTATCATTACCTTTTAATACAGAAATTTTAAGTAATGCTAAAAATAAGATAAAAATGAAATAAAAAAAAAGTTTGTGTAATTTTTATTTATTTTAATTTTATTTCTGTACATATTAATTTTTATCACCTTTTAAGTAATGGTTTTTTTTTCATCTTTTTTTATTTATATTATATTTGAATACAATATTAAGAATATAACTTTTTTATAGAAAAATATTTTAACTGAACCTAAAAATTTAGATTACGATAAAAAAATCATTTTTTTTCTTATTATTGCTTGAATTGTTAAAAAATAACAAAAAAACAGCTAAAAATTTTCCTTTCAAAAAATAGAGATTAAATTACTTAAAATGGCCACGTAAAAAGGAGACAAAGTATTATTCCAAGATCAACTTTTTTTTTTTTCATTCCAATGTTAATTTTCCTATCAAACAAATCATAATGTCATTATACATGGGAATAGTGAAGTCACATGATACAAACTAGTGGCTTTCCCTCCCAGTGTGAGCCAATGCAATCATTCCAAGCAGCCCTTTCCTCAAAAGTTCCAAATGAATATTAGACCAAAAACTGTCCTTTGGAGAAGGAATGATGAACCCTCCCCAATTTGGAGAGTCAGTTAGCTGATGCCATCTCTTGACAACACCTCACAGACTTGAACTGCATGTCCAACTTAACCCAGAAATCAAATTTCTTAGATTGGAAGAATTCCTTCTAGAGTAAACTCTAATTGTCACATACGCATTACTGTTCTTCAGGATTGAGATCTCTCCCGGATTTTGGCTCTAGCAAAAAATACTCCAGCCAGAAGACCTACAATTGCATTTCTATCTTTAGTGATGAAACAAAATGTAATACAAACTTGTGCTAATGCACTTCATAATAATAACAACCATGATGACAATGATAGTAGTAAAACTTTTGTTCAGTTAATTCAAAGAACTAACCAAAGAAAATACTAGCAGAGTTCTCCAAACTAGTAGGAACTTTGAAGATAAGGATGCCAGCAATAGAAAGTGGTATCTTGTTCAGTGAACCTACAAGACTGTAGATGGAAAAACTAGTTAGATATGTCTAACAAAATTAAAATAGTGGCATTATAGCACAACAATGAAGACTAGAATCTAGATTTCATAAAACAACTGTTCCAACAATAATCTATAACTAAGTTACAACCAAGGTGAATGGCTCATTAAGTAGCATCACAAAAAAAATGAGAGACGGTATGACTTGTTTGCTAGAGCACCCTAGAGCAGTTAAGATAGCAATCTAAGCCAAAATACACACACGACAGGACCATTGTCAATAACATTAAAACTACTTCGAACACACATTGTCCATGATATCAATCTTACTATCCATGAAGTTCAACTTCAAAAGAAACTGATAGGGAACTGTAACTATAATTTAATTTGCCGCATTTAGATATAGGAAATAAAAGGTGGATAAGGATTATTTTCTCTCTCTTTTTGGGGAGGGAGCAATTGGTACTCCTGATCTCACCTGTAAGTTGTAGCTCCAGTCTGATGAAGAAACCACATGGATGTAAAGCTGATTGCTAGACCCAAAATTCCACTGAAGGTCATCACCAACCAAAAGCTAGGCAATCTCAGAAGTGGCCTGTAAATTGAATTACAAAAATTTAAATAATACTAGGAAAACAAAGACATAGTGAGTATCTTCTTACTTCTGTTGTCGACATAACCTAAACAATTTACGACATAAAAACACCTTTCTTGAGATTCAATATCTATGTTTGTATAAAGAAAAACAAACGGCAAAAAGTAATATTGGGATGTTCTGTTGATGATACATTTTAACTTATGAGATCAATAACCTTATAGGAAATGAAGTATGTCAAGTACATAATATTGAGAAATCACGAAAATACAGGAAATAACTCACGTTCGTAAGAGATAATCCACCTCATTGAAAACAACAATCAGGAAAAATCCCAAAGGCAAAGAAAGGGTGTTGTTCAACAAGACCATCGAAAACTCATTTAAATTCCCAGATTTGGTAACTTGCTTTGCCGTATCCATGACTCTACGGAGAGTCAGCTACACCAATAAAATCAAAACAACCGATGAGCAAACTTGACTAAAAGCTAAATTTAATTCAGTGCTATCTACAAATCTACATACACACATTATATGATAGTATATTATCCTTTTAAACCTAAACCAAATTTAACCTCCTCCATGTATATATAGAAGTAATTGAATATTATGATTCAGGAAACCCCACAACAGCAAGTAACAGGTCAAACTAAAAAGTATTGAGTCAATTATCTCACCAGGTATAGGTGATGAATAATTTGTCCTTGTAGGAAAGTATGATAGGATTAAACTATTCAATTCACTTCGGTCATGATGAACTATATCAACTCATAATTTTCTTCATTGAATTTTAATTTTGTCTTTCAACTAAGTCTGAGCCAGTCCTTAGCACAGAGAGAATTGGAGAAATATTTATGGCATATGTTTAGATCATTGTTGAAACAACCAGAAATATGAAATGGGTCTGAAAGAGTCTTAAAAACATTGCAACGAGATAGAAACATGATATCTTACTACAAAGAATATGAAAACCTCTCCTGATTACAACACTGCACTTCGGAAGTTTGAGGATTTGGACTTCCTAATGCCCCAAACTCCCAAATATCACAAATTATCTCATTTCTTCTCTTCTATCCTACACAAGATGCCCTTAACTGATTGTAAGTAACTAATAGATTATCTACGCGATGATCATAACCAAATAGTGATAGACTTTAGCAAGACAAAAACGTGATTGAATTTATGCATATACAACATTAAATTAATATCGCAACTCTAAAGTCAAGGACTAAATCTTATAGGTGTAAAGTTACATCTTCCAGTATTCAGTTGAACTTTCATTTATAAAACATACAGGCAGTAACAGAAAGGTAAGCAAAGTAGAATAAAAAAATGAAACTTATTGTACCAATGAAGATTAAAATCACAAAGCATAATACTCACAGAATACGATGCAGTTAAGAAACAGTTTAGTGTCTGCCAAGCATAGCCAATTGAATTAAAAGAAAGATCAGTAATCCCTCCAGTTATTGCTGAAATTATCTGCAAGGGAAAAGGAAAATCTTTCAGGCTGTGTTACACCAAAAACTTGTTATGGTTTGTAAAGGATCCAAATAATGCATAGTTTCTAGAAAGTCTAAACAGTAAACAGCTATGCGAGTCCGGAAAAATAAAAGACGTTTTTAGTAAGTATGAAATCAAAACAGACAAGCCATGCAGTAACATTGGGTTATAATTAGGCAAGACAAGTAACACCTTCCCCAAAGTGACTACATCCTTGGACAACTATAATAAAACAATGATACAATATGCTGGCGGAGTAGTGGTTGTAACTTCTAGGAGATGCAGGTAAAATAAAGGGATTGCAAGATTCTTATATAAAAGTATAATGTGTGAATTTGTTATCCTACATAACAGTCAGGGTCTCAAACAACCAAAATAAAATAAAAGGATCGCAAGATTTACATGTCAAGTTCTTCAACATACCATTAGAAATAGAGCTGCCCAGACTTTGCCATCGTGGTGCTTCTTAAACAAGTACATTTCACCAAGGGCAGTTATGACATTAGTAACATTCTTCAGGACTGTCACCATGGCTACATTAATGTATTTCAAACTGCACATCATACAAGTGGATAAGTAAAAAGATACAAGCAAGCGAAAGTGACGAACTGCTCTACTGTAATTCCAGTTCATATATTGACACTGGTACAAATAATAAATGTCAAGATAACATGTTTGACAATAACAAGTTAGCACAAGTTTAAAACTCCATGCCCCCGAAATAAGAATCATTGTTCCCTGAATTTATGTACAAGGTTTCCATTTCATGATTACATATAAACAGGATTGCTCAGTATAATCTACAAAATATTTTTAAAATCAATGTAGTTTCACTCCTAGCATCAGACAACACTTAAAAATAAAGGCACACACAAAAATTTGATATAAAATGGAAAAGAAATCAGTCACAAAGCATCTATTGTTGGGTATTTGAAGGGTTTTGTGTATATGTATTTCTGATATATCATGTGGGTATATTTCTATTCATGTACTCTATGTATATATAGAGTAAAAATATTACAAAATATTAAATATTCATAATATCTCAATCATAACTGCCTAAATCAAAATAATAACCTAATGTCTTTTTACCTTCTCTCTTAAAAGATAATAAAATCTCTTAATACCTAATTTAAATAAAAGATAATAAAGTAATATTTCCAACATTCCTCCTTACTTTAATATCTATTTATTTGAATTTGATATATTTTTTTTCCTTTTGCTTATAATTTTTCCTCCTTTTTTGTTTATACTTCTTGTTATCTTCTTTCTTGTATGAGATCACATTTTCATTCTTCACTTTCTTCATCAACATATTTCTTCCTTTATCAACTTCATCTCCTTTGTTTCTTTCAAACTTCATGGTAGTACTGTTGACTCTTTGATGGATGTTGAAAACAGTTTTTCCATCTACATCAAATTCCTTCAAGAAATCTTTTTCATCAAATTCCTTCAAGAAATCTTTTTCATGCTTTTTCTTTGACTTTTCTTTTATATCTTCATTTGTAATAATCTCTTCTTTCATCAAATCTAAAGTGAAACTTTTTCCTTTCATGTGAACTTTGAATATTTCTAAGTTATTTGTATATTTAATCACACAAAGTTTGTGTTCAAAAGACACCTTATAACTTTTCTCCAATAATTGAGCAACACTTAACAAATTATGATTTATATCAAGAACATATAAAACATCAATAATCAATTTGATACCCGAATGACTTTTAACTACAATTGTTCCTGTACCTTTCACATTCATTTCTTCTCCATTACCAATTCTCACTTTAGAAATATGTGATTCGTTGAGTTCTTTGAAAAATTTTCGATCATGAATCATGTGGTTTGTACAACCACTGTCTATTAACCAACCTGTGGATTTGTTGATTGTAGAGCATGTTGATGCAAGGAGAAGTACCTCTTCTTCTCTATCCTCTATAACATGAACGACTTCCTCTGGTTGTGATTTGCATATCTTTTCTATATGTCCCAATTGACCACATTTGTGACATTTCACATCAGGTCTCCACCAACACTTGTTGGGTGTGTGATTATTTTTCTTGCAATAAGGACAAACGAGAAAATACTCGTGATTTTGTACCTTTGTTGTTTTTGGCTTGGACAGAACCTCCATCATGATATAATAAAGAACCTTCACTAGCGACATGATCTCCTCTCATCAATCTTCGTTGCTCTTGTGCTTGTAAAGCATGTAGCACTTCTGCCAAAGTAATATTAGACAAATATTTTGTGTTTTCCAATGAAACAATTGATGCTTCATATCTCTCTGGCACAGTTACCAGAATTTTTTCAACTATTCTATAATCAGAAAATTCTTTGCCTAACAATTTTATTTTGTTAGCAATACCTAACAATTTGTTTGAGTATTTATTAATTGTTTGAGACTCTTGCATCTTTTGTATCTCAAATTCCCTTATCAAGTTTAGAACTTTCATACCTCGAATTTTCTCATCTCCTTCATATTGATCTTTCAAATAATCCCAAATTTCTTTGGGTGACTTTAGCGTCATGATTCTGGTGAGGATCATTTGTGAAACACCAGCAAACAGACATGATTTAACTTTTGCCTTTCTCATTTTTCTTTCTCTGTGAGATTTCATTTGAGCTATAGTGGGATTTTCAGGTAGTGGATCAACAATATAATCTTCTTCTACAGCTTCTCATACATCCAATCCTTCAAGATAGGATTGCATTCTCACAGCCCATAAGTCATAACTTTCGTCACCAAAAACTGGAATAGTGACTTGTGAAAAATTTCTTTCTCCTTCCATTGTGTCGAACCAAAGCTTTGATACCAATTTGTTGGGTATTTGAAGGGTTTTGTGTATATGTATTTACGATATATCATGTGAGTATATTTCTATTCATGTACTCTATATATATAGAGTAAAAATATTACAAAATATTAAATATTCATAATATCTCAATCATAACTGCCTAAATCAAAATAATAATTTCTTTTTACCTTCTTTCTTAAAAGATAATAAAATCTCTTAATACCTAATTTAAATAAAAGATAATAAAGTAATATTTCCAACATCTATCACAATATTCCTTGTAAAACAAGGGATATAATATAATCTAACGAAAGCGAGAACGAAAACATTATAAGAGCCACAAAGTTGAAGATTGCATACCTAAACATACTTGTGATAAGCATTCCAACAAATATAACATTCACAGGCAACCAGACCTTAATCAATCTCCATGTCAGCGGCTCCGTTGAAACTAAACCCAGAATTTTCAGCACAGAAACAATAACAACTGAAATGAAATTCTGTATCCACACAAAAAGAGTCAGAATCAATCCAGCTCAAGCAATTTCCTCATCATTATGCTAAACACAAAAGGGTAAATGGTTCCAAGGACACAAAATCAAATACCTGGTACAACATCAAGGATATCCCAGCATTAAAATCATAGCTGGAAAGTACAAACTTGTTAACCAATATCATACCACAGGAGGAAAAGCAATATGCGAGTCCCGACAACAAGGCCTGATTGTGGACTCTTACTACCCTTCCACTTCTTGGAGTTCGTTCTTTCTCTTTGTCCAACTTGACATTTTCCACGTCAAGTTGTTCATCAGTGGGAGAAGAAAGCTTCATTTTCGAGTGATGCAGTTATGTCTTAAGCTGGATTGACTCACAGGAAATTAAAAATAAAAACTCCAAAGTCCCACAGCGTTATGGAGCTCGGAATCGACAAGTAAGGAGACACGTGGAAAGGAAAAACCTTTTTCAAAAACCCAGATATATTTATGATCGACGGGTAAAACCCATCAAGGGTAACCACTGTGATCGCTTTATGGAGGAAAAGGAAGGCAAAGAAGCGATGAAAAATAAATGATGAAAATTTGTGTATTAAATGAGCTAGAAACGGCGTTGATATACGGAGAGAACAAAGAGGGGTTGGGAATTTTGAAAGTAGAAACTTCGTCGCGTTTAAAGAAGGAAGAAAGCTACCAACTTTTGTGGATTTTTCTTTGTTGTGTTCTGTCCTCTTGCAATTCGCGTGAAACTGGTATGGCAAAGATCCCCCGGTTAGTTCGGTTCGAATTAAATGTTCAAAAGTCTTAGGCTTTATTTTTGTTATTTGGATGATGTCACTTCATTTGTGTCTCTTGCTGCCACCATTATTAGCCCTAAAGTAATATAATTATGATATCCTTAAAATTATGATCACCACATCTATTGATATTCAATCAATTTGTTAATTTTAGCAATAATTATTTTACAAGTCCTGTAAAACAATCATTTTTAGTACAAAAATCAATACACTAACCTTGATTATTAAACTAAGAAAGATATTTTAATAAGGTCCAGCTTGAAAAAAATATTGCTAAATTAATTTAAAATACTTATTAAAACAAGTGTTAGATTGTTTATATTTATAACAAATATTTATTATATAGAAGAGGCTTAAATGTTATTTTGTTATAATATGACAAAGCTATTTCTTTTAACTTTTTAAAAATATCTCAAAGGAGAGTTTTTATAAGAATAGTTTATGAATAAAAATATTATTTTAATTTTATATATATGAATTATTTAAAATAAAATAAAATAGTTTATATTAAAAATATTTTTAAATAATTTATATATGTATACTATTTTAATTTAGAAGATGTTAACAATAAAACCATTTTGAGGGGCAACTGCAAAATCAAAAATCATTTTGTTTTTAATTCGACAGCAAGCACATTTATGCAACTTGTTGGGTAGTTGACCTGTGTGGCATGTACGATGATGGTGAGACCAATGAAGAAAATGAGATGTACCCAAAAGAAAATGCGAAGGTTAGTTGCCACTTTAGAATTATATGATGTTCGCGTTTGACCTCAAAGACGAAATAACGGAATATTCAAAATCAGAAGTATCAGCAATTATCCACTAACTTATTGTGGCACATAAAACGCAAACCAAATTTTCCATTGCTTTTTTAATGTTAGTGGAATTTTCCTAAGGTTTCTGTTACGCTTCAACTAAATTATTAAAAATTCCACCTTTCGGTGGTAGCAATCGGCAGATGAGATGAGTCACCCACCCCCTGAAGATATATTTCATTTTGATAAAATAATAACCCAGCTGTGTCTATCGTTATCCAAGCAAAAATGTTGGCCTAGATGCACTGTGACCAGTTAGGATTGAGCCAGCAGAATGATTAAAAAACAAATTTTGAAACTTCGGTTGACTTCAGTGTCTTATTCATTATCTCCTTTAACTTAGTTAAGTCAAGATTATAGAACTCAACTGTAACTCTGGTAATATTTTGAAATCTCACCTTAGTTTCAATTTTTAGTGGAAGCAAATGAAGTCTCCAACAGATAAATTTCATACGGAATTACACCGAGCCAAAATAAGATTGGAGTAACCCTTCAGCATCATAGTATGATATGCACGAATTTCAACAACAACAAAATGTACTTTAAATAATTGTCCTCTTTATTTGAAATTTTTTAAAAGGACAAAATAAGATGAGATGCTGTGTGACGTTACCTTCTAATCATGTTAGTTTAGTTTCAATGCCTAACGAGAAACATTCTCAGAAACAAAGAGTTATTTAAGAATTAATCTGGCTTATATAAGCAGATTGCCTGGCTTCAATGAAACTCCTAATGCTAGCTGCATCTCCATGCATGACTACTTTCCCATCCTCCATGTAGATGGCACCATCTGCAAACTCTAGTTCTTCCAAACGATGGGTGACCCATAATGCCGTAACTTCAGCAGATGTATCCACAGAGTTCCTCACAGCTTTGATAACCCCGACCTTAAATGAAAAGTGCAAGCCATATCTATTAGAAAGTGTTGGTCTTACAACAAAAATATCACATTAACTAAAATGAACATATTCAACCGCAAGCACAAAAAGCCGTATTCAGTTAACATCATGTTTAGAATTCGAAAAGCCACGTATTTCACTCATATGTAAGAAAGCATGTTTAGACACTGCCTCATGGCACTGGTCTCTGTCAGCTTGAATGTGTCACATACTGATAAAAGGCATTCGTAAAGAAAATGATACCAAGAAAGAAAGAATAGTGACTGTCACTACTATTTTGTATATGGAGAAAGTCCCTTGCTTCCACGTATTTCAGGATCTTAATCTTTGTGATTTTACAACAAATATGGTATGGTATAGCGTAGAACATCACGATTCATGGATTACCTGGTCAGTTTCATCTAAGAATGTTGTGAGCTCATCCAACAACAGAACTTTACAAGCTTCTGCTAGAGCACCGGCAATGGCAACCCTCTGCTTCTGACCACCACTCAGAGTTTGGACAGATCTCTGAATATTGCACCAAAAGGAAATTTTATCTATCATATAATTAACACATTTTCTTTTTAGTGCTCAAGGTTGTTGTCCCTATTACCTTCATGTAGTCAGACAGGCCTACAGCGTGCAAAGCTCTTGACACCCTAGACCTGACTTCATCGTTAGTTAAATTCATCTTACCAAGACCAAATGCAACATCAGCATCTACAGTAGGCAGCACCACCTGCAACAAATATAAGGTTACACAGCTGACAGTCCGATATTATACATCATATGGATTCAGGCTGTAAATTCTCAGTAGATCTTTTTTGGTGATGACTATAGAGTGATGACAAAATCAGGTTTTTTTACTTTTATATTTTGTGAACAATAGTTGTATCTAAACTGCAAACACTGAGAAAATATTCAAAAGGAGATTGGATAGAAGGATAGTATAAATTATTCAAATTCCTAAGATGGCACTATGACAATAGACACCTGTTAATGATTAGGGAGTAAAGAACAAAGAAATCAAGTGAATTCTCCATGATCTGAAAGGAAAACTTCAACAGGAATATTTGGAGAAGATCTGACAAATGACATGCACTAAACAAACCACCGTCTTCTTTCATTTCCCTTTACACTATTTTTAATTCAAAAACTTGGTAAGGAGATTATATGTAATGTGGAGCTTACTTTTCTGTTGCTTCCACATAAGAAATCTGGTGTGCTTGGTGTCCACCTCCCTCACCCCCACCCCCAAAAAAATCCCTTGGTGGAGGGCTGCTTGTATTAAGACTTTAATTTGTTAACGTAACATCAGTAATTTTGGCATAAATATTTCTTAAAAATGCCTACAGTCTACAAAAACTGAACATTTGGTTAACAAGAAAAATAGAATGAAAAAGTTAACCATCATTTGTTACCCATCGAGATGCAAAGGAAAAAGAACCATGCTTCTATAGAACAGACAACAATCAAATCTCAAATCTAGAATTTTGACAGGGTACTAGTAGAGGTCAGGACAGCAGCAATACCAACATGTACTATAGAAACTGTAACAGCCGTTCTGCCATTCAGAACTTTTTCTTGGAGGAAGTCCCGGGGCACATGGAGTGTAAGGACCAAATTTATTTAGTCTAAGAATAGAAGTGATTAAAATTAAATAGAGAATGAATATTTTATAAGTTTAAAAAGTAATAATAGAAAAAAACTTAACTTTTCAATCTTTATTTACATAAAATTACCATTTCTCTAAAACCTTAAACTCTCTCACTTCTCTTTAAGATATCTCACCCTCCTCTCATCTCTTTCTAAATTTGAGCTCACCTTAGAGCTCTTGACAGAGAGTAGAGTACTTCTATCTGATCAAAAGTTCGATTTAACTAAGTTCCTCAACAAAGATTCGTCACTCAAGTGACAAAACCTTCACTTAAGCAAAAATACTCTTTGGAGAAATGGAGGGTCTAGGAGGATTGTCATTTAAGTGATAGTAAGCAAAAAAATATTGTTATTGATGTGGTTTATCTCTCACAATTGTAAATACAATAGATTATGTTTATAATCTATGTATGTATGTATGGATGTTGAGATTGAGAATGGTAGTTAGAAATTGGCGAAGTCAATGAAATATTCTAACTCTACTCATATATAAAGGTATCAAGTGGGGAGAGTTAAAGGAAATTCCTTTTACTTTATCTCGGGTTGTCTTTGTTGATAACAAATAAGTTCTTAAAATTTACCCTGTCACATGAGTGTGTATGCAATTTCGTAAGTACCCTTGTTTTCATGCAACTAGGGAAACCGTGGTACAAAATGTGCAAATCTTTGAGTTTTAAATTAAATATTTAGTCTTCCAAAAGTCAGTAAGTGTCATTTGTGGTTGAATTATGAGCTTCGTAATGACATATTTCATATGTAGACACTTGATGTGATGGTGTGGATGAATGAAAAGTATCTTAGTATGGAATGGAGATGTATGGCAAACTATTCTGTTATGATTTTAATTGAATCCAAGCTTATCTTAGTTGTGTTGTGTCTGTTCTTTGTAATTGTGATGAACGCACCATTGCACGAGAAGAAATGATGCAGGTGATAGTTCTCAACAGAGTTAGGCGGGAGAAAAATTCCTTGTATTTCTTGGTGTTGACATTTTGAGATGTACACTATATCTTATGCAAAGGAAACATTATTTTGAGAAACAATGTAAATCTACATGTTATATATCTATATTAATTTATCAATCTAGGTTTAGTGGGGTTGTTATATGGAGTGGTTGGGAAATGGCTCAAATTTTGCCTAAACATTAGTCTAAGGTCTTTTATCCCAAAAGAAAAAGAAGAAAGTCTGAGGGCAGGTTAGCTACAGTTTGAGCTGTTAATTTATTCTTTATTCTTAACTCGGGAAATTTGCATGAAAAATATTATATCATAATATATAATAAACATAGTCCACAAAGGGCATAGCAATAATAGCAAGGTAAATGAAGAAAGAAAAATTGAAATTACTACTCTCTTCCCCTAATAACATCAGTGTGACTTTGTGAAGAGGTTTCCATCTTTGAATTTGAATTTGAATTGTTTACAATCCAGAAACAAATTTTAGCTTATATTTCCACTCCGGGAGAAAACATGGTCCAGTGAAAATATAGACCCAAATGATTTAACCTACTTAGACACAAGATTTAACCTTTCTGATAATTTCTGTTTTAGGTCTACAATAGCGAGCGTAATCTAATAGAAATGACCAAGAGCAGACTCTCACTTTCAAATCATTGCTGGGCTGAAATCTGAGGCAGGAGGTTCCTGTTGCCTGCTCACACCATGCATGCAAAGAGCTCCAGAATATTCCATATAGAGGCTACCGCACCTAATGAGATTACTTCATAGTCATTCCAAGTGTCTTAGCAGTGACTTACTCAAATTCACGTGGTTACTCACCCTCATTTAGCCTTATAAAGTAAGTAAATGCACACAGAAAGTAAGTAAATCTTTCCATATACTATTTCTCTGCTGGTTTGAAGATTCAAGATTAGAAAATCAGATACCTCCTCATCTCAGAGGAAGGCATATTGAGTGCGTCTAAGTCTATCAACCGATTGGGTTTGGCAAAATCAATGCCCACACTAGCTTAAGAAAGACAGCATTGAACAAAGTAAAAGCACAAAAATTAATAATTTCCGCTACAATAAAGACCTGATGATCTGGATTTTGGAAAACGAAACTTTTAGGCCCATTCACGTTCACTGTTCCTGAAGTTGGAGTCAACAGACCGGCCAAAATCTGCACACCCAACGTTACATTACAAGACAGGCACACTGCACTACAAAACAATTACTCTCACTTCTGTATTCTGATAATACCTTCAAGAGGGTAGATTTTCCACATCCATTGGGTCCAAGCAGCATCCAAAACTGCCCGCAAGGAATGCGAATCGAACAATCCCTAAGAACTGGTACATCCTGCGTTTGCCTCCTCGAGAATGAGAATTTTAGATTACACCCTTCAATTGCAAAATTGTCCGCTCTAGTGCCCCTGGAAAAAAAAAATACCAAACCAATAAAAGAGGGAGGAAATCCAAGACTTCGACAAAACTGTTCGAGAAAATGCCCAACTGAAAAGTGGAACCTGATAGTTGTAGTGGGAACTGTAGCACAAAGAGGAGCAACGAGACGTTCGGAGAAGCTAGTAAGACAAGGGAAATTCATAGCATTCCCTCTTCCCTCAAGTTGATGGTTCTTCTACGCGACCGTTTTAAGGTTGGATGAAATTCCTAAGCTAGTCTTAACTTTTCATGAAAGGACACTTGAGTCCTCTCTTGACAATGTGGCACGCTCTGATTAGTTACGCTTTTTTTAGGTGCGACATCCTCTCTTATCTCCAGTATTTGTAAAACGTTACGGGAGACCCGAGACACGTGGCATTGTGTTTCTCTTCATGGCGTTCTCTGCGACTCTATCCTACACTACCTTCCTTTCTCTTCCTCGCTTCCCGCAAATTTTGAGGACAAAGAGAGTTCATTTCCCACTGATTCGTGCAGTACAAAGTGGTGAAGCCGACACCCCAAAGAGTAAGAGTGAAGGGTCATCTAATGCTCAGTCTTCAAGTGCTGCTCCAAAGCCTCCCAAGAAACCAGTTTATTCCTGTGAGTCTAGCAAACATTGAACTAGCTAGTGTTTCTTAACAGACTAAACTTCTTCTTGATTATTGCTTGTCGTTTTTGTTTTGGGGCAGTGAAGAAAGGTCAGATTGTGAGGGTGGACAAGGAGAAATATCTGAATAGCATTAATGTAAGAAAGACATCGTTTTCTTGTATTATTTATTGGCTTGGTTTCAATTGTGAACACTGACGCGTCCATGTTTAATGTTTCAGTATCTTTCTGTTGGGCACCCACCTTACTACAAAGGATTAGATTACATTTATGAAGACCGTGGTGAGGTAAATAGCAAAAGTTGTGGAGTTCATTTGCATGACGTGGCTGTTTTATTATGTTATCAGAGTTTATCTAATTGAATTGTGTGGAATTCTTCTAGGTCCTGGATTTGCGTATATTTGAAACAGGAGAGTATGCACTTGTAAGTAACCTACATCTGTCTATCTTATTTTGTTCTCATAGAATACAGAATATTTCTAAGAACAATTTCCCGATCAACGGGAGAGACTACTGCAATTACCAAAACTAACTCTCTTTGCAACGCCAATGATGTTCTAATGATCAAGCAAAGCTAAGCCTAGATCAATTTATAGCATGATATATGTACTTTATTCCAAATATGAAGAAATTGTCAAGAATTTAATGTTTTATACTGACTAAAACTCGTGCTTGATTGATAGATTGCATGGGTAGGGATCCCCACTGCTCCAGCTTGGCTTCCTACGTACATGCTTATCAAGGTACAGTTTAACTTGTTCCAATTTTGCACTACTAGGTACAATTTAATACTAGGTAAGCTTTTTAAGATCAGCTTAAGCAAAATCCTGATCAAGCCGAACCAGTATTTGGCCAAGAATTACTAGTTTAGTTGAGTTTGACTTGTGTGTCTTATTTGTATCTAATAAACTGAGTCAGTATTCTGCGTAGTAGCAGTTTATTTCCTTCCATGGTCATATAATAAATGAAATATGACGGAAATTTGCTATATTTCTCTACAAACATAACACCTTTTAGCTGTTTGGTAAAGTGCAAAGTTACCTCACTCTTTTTCCCTTGCAGTCGGAGAAGCTCGACTATGAGAGGCTATGACCAACTGGGGCACAAAATATGCTGGGAGTATATAATTCAAGAAGCACAGATTGAAACACCATCTGAGACTCTATCCCATCTTTAGTGCATTGTATTTCGAAGCTTTTGGAATGTGTATTTGTGTACCTATTCTTAAATTTTATTATGTATAAATGATCATTTGGATTGAGAAAACATTTTTTGTTTTTATTTTTTATTTTCACTTTTAGTTACAAAAGTATCGCCTTTTTATTAGTTTTTAATTTCTAAAGTTTGTATACAAATCCATAAAACCAGAAAATAAAGTCATCTGCAAAGCAAGAGCAATCATCTGCAAGTTGGTAAGATATGAGAATCATATGCCAGTACCTTCAGTTGCGATGTAAAATGAATCAGTAAAACAGTATGTTTAAGCAGTGGCTGCGGCAATACAAATATATTCCTTGACAGGGAAGTTCAACGAATCTCTTCGCTAACAAGGTGTACAGTATGTATAGGAGGCTATATTCTATACCAGCTTCGGTGCACTGTTGGACTGGTGATTTAGTTTGAACAAATGGCTGTAGGGTTTCTTCAAGAATAAGATTACAGCTCAAAGAATTGTCTGATGCATCAATATCTTGATAATCATATTATATTTTTTCAAAAAAATAATAATTATAATAAAGATAAAAAGTAACTTCATCCCTCATCTTATGTATATAATCATTAAATAGACACAACAATTCTTGTCATACCAAAATTATAAAATTGTACATTTCCCCTTTAAATAGAAGAAAATCTAAATTTTTGATGAGCTCCAAGAATCATTATACAATGCTTCAACACCAACTTCATGACGTGCAGTAGCAAAATTGAATATAAATCAAAACTAATCAGAGCTTAATACGTAATAATAAAACTGCTTCCAATTAAGATTTTGAACATTCAGGACTCCTTGGCTCTTTCAACTTTCTAGCCATCATTCTAGCTTGGCTTACGGTCTGGAACTAAGTTCCACACCATACACGTATCATTCTCAAGTAAAAATACATAATTTAAAAAAGTGAAAAAGTCTGTATGAAAAATTACCCTCTTTTTTCTTCTGCCATGAACTAACAATATACAACATACACGTTACTACAAACAGTAAACACCTTGCATTTACAGTAATCAATAAATTGTTACAAGCAGCACGGCGTCCCCAGTCCAATGCCTGCATCGAGAGCTCCAACACTTCATTTGTACCACACGTGGTCTAGTTCTCATGCATAAAGAATTGACCAGAATCCTTTAGGTAGAGTTTGTACGAGTGCAGATGATTGAAGTTCAATCACAGACCACAAGGCATGCCGGGGAAACCAAAAGATTTTAAAGGTATTTACAATCGGCAACTCAAATGAGTCTTCTAGGGGATCCACCGGGTGTGTGCGCTTTGTAAAAAGATGTTTCATGAAAAGGATCAAGAGTGAATGTGGCATTTGATCTCACTGGATATGACGGGAGGGTATTTTGCCCCATCAAAGTGTAAGTTGGATGTGGAGGAGAAAGCAAACAGCTCTTGTGGGCTGGCCCATACTGTCGCAATGGACTTGAACAGGGAGATACTGGTAAAGATGTGATCATTCTTGTGTTATCTCTGAAGAATGAAATTACAATAGCAAGTCAGTCCAAATAGCAAAAATTATTGAGCATATACAGAGATACATAACCAGGGTCCAGGCCTTGATAAGAGAAGGTCAGATGTTTAACCTTGGGCTCCTTACTACTCGTGAAGTAACAGGAACTCGCTTTGTTGCATAATCTCCATCCAATGAAGTTTTACTAGTTCTATTGGACTGATCTAAAACTGGCTGCAAATCGATCCAAACATAGAGAAAGTTAGCTCCATCTCAACACTTGCCATAGAAATTGGTTTCCAGATATTTTGCAACTTCAAAATGACAACATTCAGTGTACGGAGTATGTGCATTAGAACCATGACTCAAAATGAACCAATACTTTCTGTCCAAGTTTTGCAGTATTCTAGGATTCTTTGGCAGCATTATGTGCTCTAAAAGGTCATGAAATCCACTTTTATCCAAAAAAATAAAAAGCAATACAAATACTTCCGTTATCAGTTGTCACTCCTAACTGTACTATGATCACCCAGTTAATCTGTTCTCTAACTTCAATATCTCTTGCATTTGTGACATAAACTTCACCAATACATTAGTATGCATTCCAACAACAGTCCAGGGTAAAACCAGAAGATCAAATTCCATAGGAAAAGACTACATAACCACCAAAACATACGAGTGACAATCACCTGCTTTTTTTTCTTCCTTTCCTAATTGTAACATTATATAAGTGTTTAATACATTATTCTGTAGACAACCAAACAACAAAGCACACTTTGTTGCCAATTGCACCTAGATACTGTTTGATACGTAGCTAGAAGAGCTTTTGAAAACTTCTCTAGTAAGAAAAAGTTCTATATTTTCAGTAGAGAAACTCTGGAAAAAATTTTAGTTTATATCCAAACAGACCCCTCGTGATTTCAAGAAGCCACTTCACCCATATAGTTACTACATATTTCCGATAACATGATAATACTGAACATATTGATTGAGCTACATAATACATACAGCTTTAAAATACTAAGCAAACCATGATATAAAATCCTGACATCACTACATAGATAACAATCCAGTATGTTGTTATTTAAGTATATATATCATCATCACATCTTATCCAGCATATGATAACCACAAATGATGAAATCAAACAAATATCAAGATAACTGCAACATGTTATTCATATGAGAATGGAACCCCCTTTAAATGATTGTCACTATTTAGGAACTAACATCTAAGAGGCCAAAGCAACATAACTTCAGAAAGCCAAAAAAATAAGCATTGAGGACTATACCGGCGGCGTCCGACTTCCATCAAACATGTAGGGGAAAGCATCCCTGGTTATTCTGACATTTGTAGCTTTTGTTGCTGACTGATCTCGAATAAAGGGATGATCTAGTAACTGTTGGGCTGTTGGGCGGGCACATGGATCTCTTTGTAAGCATTGCTGAATGAAATTCTTTGCCTCACTTGAGAGACGATCAGGGATTTCAGGCATATCTCTGCTGTTACCGATTTTAAATATTGCAGCTACCTGGTGAATAAAAGCATTAAAAAAACAATGTTGGCCCTTCATACCCTTCAAATAGGCTGATGACAAATATGAAAATAATGTTACTTCTAAATATTCAAAATCGCACCCCTTCATATTGATTCCAAGGAGGCTTTGATGTTGCCATTTCAAGAATTGTGCACCCCAAGCTCCATATATCAACAGGAAGGCTATAGCCATTTGTATTCATTACAACCTAAGAAAGCAAACATCAGGATACATTACAACTTACAGTGGAAGAGAGAAGGATGTGCTTGTTCAAAAGGAATTACAAATTGTGAAAAGAAAGGGTAAATACTTTACCTCAGGTGCCATCCAGTATGGACTCCCTTTGAAAGAAAGCATGGAGGAAGAAGAATTTATCTGTTTCAGAACAATCATAATTCAGAGATGATCTCCATTATAACTCATACACCAACCAATACCGAAAACTATACATTTTGAAACTTTGGTCCCCTACTCTTTTTCCTACAACTCTTCCACTTCAGAAGGGTCCCTATATGTTTATGACATATACCTTTAAATTATAAAAGACAGACCAGAGATGAGAAAGTGCACAGTGCCAGATGTGTTCTAACTCTCATTCTCTATCTGGGTGCACACAAGTTTCACAGAGAAATCGTGTGCAATCAAGAGAGTAAAGGGGAATGTCTCTACCACAAGCCACTCAGATACGTAGAGAACAGCAAGTTTGAAGCTGGGGGCAAAAGAAAACCTTTTAAGTATTAAAGTATCTACTCTCCATAAATTTTACAACTTGTGTGTTCTCCAATTTATTCTACAAGCAATAACTTTTCAAGTGAGCCAAAAGCAATTCATTCTTTAGAGCATACATTTAAAAATCTTACATGCTTAGCCATTCCAAAGTCTGCCAGCTTGATTTCACCATTAGGATCAACTAGTATGTTAGCCCCTTTGATATCCCTGTGGGAAAAAGAAAAAAAAAATTATCAATAATTTAAAAAAGAGTCAAGATCCAAGCATTTCATATTATAAAAAGATCCGAGTAACCATTAATCAAATTACCTATGCACTGTGTTTCTCCCATGAAGATAGGAAAGTCCAGAGACAATCTGTCTGGTATAATTTTGAATAACAGGCTCTGTGAAGGCCCCATATTCCTGAAGTAATTTGTGAATAGAACCACCAGAGACATATTCCAAATAAACGGAAAGTGTTTCTTCTCCCTGCAAACATGGCACATCCACACATATATATTTATTAATGGATCTCACTCATCAATTTTTCTTCTCTCTCTCTATGTGCAACAGCTATAAATACAGGATTCAAAACTTGGAACTTCTTAGCCACATACCAAATCACTCCCATAGTATTGAACAATGTTTTGATGTGAAAGCTGACTGAGCAAATTGATCTCCTGCAGTCAAATGAAGAACGTGGTACTATAGATTAAATAATGATCAAGCATATCCAACAAAATCCATTGCAATAGTGTAGAAGGTTTAAGGCATCATGCATATATCTTAAAAAATAATATTACCTGATTAAGTTGTTTGAGGCACTCTTTTGAGGTTTGATCATCACAAACAACCCTGACTTCCTTTATTGCACACAATTGTCCACTATCACTATCAAAGTTGCAAAACAAGCATTTTAGAGACAAACAATGATAGGAATCAGAATATATACAGTTTCAGTAACTTGTCCATAAAATGGACATTTGCACACAGCACATTCTGAAAAAAGACTGATGATATAATTCTGTAAACATAGTTGTACCTCAAAGCTAGTTTTTTTACATTGCCGATAACAACTGGCACTCAAATATTTCCTTTGTAGCCTAAAGATTTGTTTATACATTACAACCACTTATAGCAAAATCCACAAGTTCTGCCTTTAATTCAGGGAGTGAGAACTATACATGTGATAAAGTTGTTGCGGCATAACCAAGAAGGAGAATTAAAAGTAAATTTCCTTCACTGTAAAAGAAAAAGCACCCCAAAAATACCTATTGAATCCCAGGTAAACATGCCCAAATGTTCCCCGTCCTAGAAGCTTTCCTTTCTTCCACTTGGAAAGGGTACCGGTAGTGTGTTCTGCCACTCCATTTGCTCTTGTGCTTGAAAGAAAAGAAGAAGGACTGGTAGGAGAACCCGGTGGAAGAGGCAATGGATGACATTCACCCCTTCCATCTTCTTGCCTGCCTGTAGGAGAGTCAAGACTCAAAACAAGCAACTTCGGATGAAGAGGTGATGTTGGGCTGGTTGGCCCTCTTGACCCAGGACCTGGGCTTTTAGACCTCACATGGAACTTCACGTCACCTTGCCCTCTAGCATAAAGAAACAGTATCGATCAGTTCAGCAGCAGATCGGAGAAACAAACATAGCAGTTCATGTTTTCTGAGTTCCTTTTCCTTACACTAGCCATGCTAAAGTGACTGTAGATTATAGCTACGGCCTCCCATATTTTATAATTACTACTAACTAATCATAGAAAAACAATAAGATAAATATATTTTGCTTAAATTTCACCTAATCAATTGGGATGAAAAATGGCAGGTGGTTAATCTCCTACAGATAAAAAGAATATAAGAACTAGTCTTAACAAAATTTCCCATCAAGATTTAGATCTTAATTTTCCCCGAACAAATCCATGCCCAGAGTCTAGAGCTGCAAATTCAGAGTTTGAAAACGAAACTTGCAGAACGGATAATTCTAAATCTACAACTATACTAAAGAAGACTCCTCAAAGCACTGAAGATAAATTCTACAAAGTTTGAGCAGATACGCACATACAGAGAGCGAGAACTCTAAAAATAAAAGGAAAGAAAAAGTAAGGGCTAGAAAAAAAGGGGAATAGGAACAGAAGTGTACGAAAAAGTGTGCTTTAAAAAGCTTGGGAGGTAGTAGCAAGAGCCAGTTACTAATTGGGATTGCAAGTCTGAACAAAACTAAAAAGGAATGCCACATATCAAGAATTGAATCTCATGTTAATCGACGAGTATAAGACTTAACAACAAACCTAGCGGCATTAATCTGAGAGTGATAGGTGGGTTGATCATCGTACGAGCCACTGGAGCTGAAGCTAGAACCTGAAGAGGCAGATCCTAAGATAAGGCCTTGGTCGGTGCAAAAGCTTTGGGTGGAGGAGACGGAGGGGCGAGGCAAGGGAAGGCCCCGCTTCTCGTCGGAGTCGGCGGCGGAGTGAACCAAATCACGGGTGGCACGTGGGGAATTCCGGACGAGGGCGGCGTCATCGAGGCTCTTATTGGACCTCGTCTTGGGCTTGATGAAGTTGAATTGAAGAACACTGGTGCCGCCGCCGCCGCCGCCGCTGCCATGCGGGTGGTGGTCTTCTTGCTCCTTGCTCTTACTGGACTTTTTACCCCACCAAGTGGGCATATTCTGAATTAGACTAAGCACAATTGGCGACGAGGGAAGGAAGAGAGGTTGAATTGGAGGAGGAGAAGAAGAAGAAAGAGAGAAAGAGGGGTTGAGAGTGGTTAGGTTTTGTTGAATTGAAAGTGGAAGATACGACGAAAGGGGAGAAAATAAAAAAGAAAAGAAAAGGAAAGAAAAGGGTGAGAGTGAAGAACAGCTAAGGTTGGGGTTGGAGGGGACGGCAGACGGTGGTTGGATAAGTGACGTGGCAATTTCTTAGAAAGAGAAAGGTTTTTAGAGAGGGACCCACACTCCCAATCTATAACTCTCTTCTCTCTGTCTCCTCCTACGTGTCACTCTCTCTAACGTTTTACGTGCGTTTTCAACAACACCCTTCCAAACTCTAACTCTAACCGGTAACTTTCTCTCGGTTAATTTCCCGCTACTTAGATTATAAAAATAAATTTTAGTTAATATATTTCAATTACAATTATCTAAGAAAATAAATTTATTCATAATGTTATGGATGCATAGAAACCTCAACGTTAGCAAAATGCCCGTTGCTCCACATAAATGTCCTCTGCCACCATTCCTTCTATTTTTATTTTTTTCTCTCCATCATAAATATATTTCAGATATCTCACACAAATTACGTTACTATTTTTCACTCTTTTTTTATTTGCCAAAAAAACAATTCAAAAACTCATTTATTTTTTATCTCCCAATCTTCTTATCATGTCACGAGTCACGACACACTTTTCAATTTCTATGGCTTGCGTGATCAATTTTTTTATGACAACAACGTTACTCGTGATTTTAATTTTCTCACTGATTTTTGTCCATTTATTACTATTTTACTATTAGGATTAAAATATTGTTTTCAGGAAACTAAATTTAAAAAATAATAATTATTGAAAACTCTCGATATCTACTCAATTTGCGCGCTGTCAGTATGCATATGTACCTGCCGCCATGAGGTGGAGGATGATGGTGCTTATAAGTCTATAAATTATTATATTCTCTTGATCCCTCTTTGCTTACTTGCACTCACAATAATAATGCTAATAAATTTATATATAGTCATCATTATACTGTATTTGTGTACATTATACTTGCATCTTCTATTCCCAAACTGCTGTACTATTTTTCAGGATTGATGGTCACTTATTTAATGCATATAAATAAATTAAAATGATTTAAATTTTTTTAAATAACTTATTTGGATAAGATAATTCAAATTTAATTTTTATAACATTTTTTAATTATTATAAAATATTAAATTTATTATTATTATTATATTTTTAAATTAGGTTTAATTCATATTATTTCCCTCTTTAGGGAAGATTAGATTGAAATAAATTAATAATCTAAATTAAGTGAATTGAGATTGGGACTAATCTCATCAAAATAAATAAACTGTGTTAAGATGTGTTAGATTAGATTAGGATAAATTAGATCATATTAAATTAAATTGGCTTTATTCGTATAAGATCGTAAATAAATAAGATATACGAAAATTAGATAGGTTAAATTAGATGATAAAATTTGTTGGATTAGGAATTGTTATATCAAGATATATTAAATTAAATGAGTAGTGTTAAGTTAAGTTGAGTAGAGGTGAGGCAGATTTATTTTGACTAATTAGAATGATAAGTTTTATCTATTTATTTTTAAAAGGAAAATAACACATTATTAAAAAATAATAAATAAATATGAAAATGTAAAGAAATATGGTGGTGATTAATTAGGTCAAATTTAAATAGGAAAAATTGGATTAAATTAGTTCGACGTATAGTTAAAAGTTGGATAGATTAGATAGAGATACTCAAGTTAAGTTGAGATGATTAATCAATGATCAAAACATGTTAAATTGATTAAAATAAAGTAAAAGAAAATATAAAAATAATAGATATAATGAGAAAGGAAAAAAATTTATTTTATATGAAATATCCTTAATTTAAGAAATCAAAATACATGCCTCAATTTCTATAATTTTAATTAATTCCCAAATTTTCTATAAAACAACAAATTATCATGAAACATTTTAAATATTATATTAAAATAAATTATCCTCTATAACTTTTTCATCCAAAAATAAGATAATTAAGTATAAGTTAAAATACTCTTATTTCATTTAGTTAATATAATTTTGGATTAATTATAAATTTCTGAGAGTTAAACTTATATATAATATTATCAAATAAAGTAATCAATTAACTATTTTTATCCATTTGTATTATTACATATTTACTTTATATATATATATATATATATATATATATATATATATATTAAAATTAATATTGACGAAACTATCTCGATTTTAAGTAAATATAAATTTTTCAGTATAAAAATCAATATTTTTAAAATTAGAATAATTTTGAACTAAATTTAATAAAATAATATTTGTATAATATAATAAATTTATTAATAATAATTAAAAATAATAATAAAAATTATATTATAATGATCATAAGTTATTTATAAATATAATATATTAAAAAGTATAAGATAAATGATAGTTAAAATAAAATTAAAAATATAATAAAATTATTACTATTTAAATTTGATATAATTATGAGATAAAATAAAAAATTATATTAATTTTTTTTATAAAAAAAATTGATTTTTTAATTTTTTTATCAAATTCCGTTTTACCCAATAATTCAACCATCTTTTTCTATTTTACTAATTTTATATTTATTTTATTTTAATTTAACTAAAATATATCTATTTAAAAATACTGAAAAGATTTTTAGATTAATTATTTTTATTTGTATTTCTTATCTAATTTTAAAAACAGTAATAAAATTTATTAATAAGTACAACTTTTTTTTCCAAAGAAGGATTAAGTTATATGTTACAATTACTCTTTGAATCCCATAGTTTACAACTAATATATTTTTATAAAAATTATTAATGTAATTAAAAGAGTTAAATATTTAAAGATGATTGTAATATATGTTTCAATAATCATTTAACTTGAGAATGTTATCAAATCATTTAAAAATAACACTTTGTGTTAGTAAAATAACAAGATGACAACTACGAAAAAATAAATAAAAAATAAAAAAATTAGAAGAAATTGATTAAAAGAAACAGATAATCAATAAAAAAATAAAATTTTACAAATTTGTTAATTAATTTATTATATACGTATAAACTACACAATTTTATTTCTCTCTTCTCGTGTATATATATAAACTTCCGCTTTGTTTGATACAAATTTTTCTCCCTCTTTCTTGGCCACCAAAGCAGCAATAGGATTGGGGCATAGGATGGGACTCCAAGTAAAATGGAAAGTTCATGGTTTTTTTGCATGGGGAATAATTATTGTCTTATGTTTAAATAGTGAAAAAAAAAGAGAAATTAATTGTTTGAATTTTAAAAAATAAAAATATAAAGTAACTACATAATTTGATTGATAAATAATTATTAATATATCTCTAATTAAAAATTATAGATAATTAAATATGAATAAATATTTTTTAATTAAAAATGGTTTAGTAATTATTATTTGACAAATAAAATAATAAATAAATTATAATTAACATAAAATTATAAAATATAAAAAATGTTAAAAATGTATATTTCATACAAAATAATCTAAATAATTCATATTACTGAAAATTTCTATAATAATATAAGGAGGAGATTATTTTTATAACTTCGTTGTCACAATTTCATGTATTATTTATTTTAATCTTATATATTCTCTTTTTTATATTTACTTAATTTTTTCTCAAATAAAATTAATAAAAAAAATTCTATTTTTTAAAATTCTCAATTATATGTTCACTTTGTTCTTAAAACTTTCTCACACATTTATTTATTTATTTTCAATAATGTATAATTTTAAGAAAAAATATTCTTCAATTTAAAAAAATTTATCTAAAATAAAATTAATAAAAACTGTGGTTTTTTTTCTCATTTTAAAACATCATCACTTATTTTGTTTTATCTATCGTGTCTATTTCTAAACGAAATTATTTTGTATTAAAATATATAATAAAAGTGCAGACAGATGCATAAGTGAGAGTAGTTTCGTTGTAATCAATCATATAAATATATTATTTATTTATTATATTAAAGATAAATAATGTTATTTTTTTTATTATCATAATGTTAATCTTATAAACAAGATTTTGAGGTATTATTTATTTTATTATTTTAATTATAATAATTTTATTTTTTAAAATATTTTAATAAATTAATATATATATATATATATATATAAATTATTATGTAATCAAGATAAATATAAATAATTTTCTTATCAAGTCTATCTGAAAAGAAAAAAAAAAATAGTGGCGCATTGTGTCTTTTTCTATACATCCGAGAATGTAAATAATGATGAGTGTTTACTTTTGAGTTACTTTACCCACTTTACCGCTCTTAAACAGTACATTATCATATGAAAGGATAAGCCTTGGCTGCTGATGTTGTTGTCTAACAATGACAACTTTTACAAACCCCTCCCTTCTCCCAACATGTGTTTAATTCTATCTCCCCACTTTCTTCAGCACCCTCTCACCAATCTCCCTTTTCTCTATTTCTGTGCTTCTCATTTTCCAATATCCACTATTCTACCATCATAAATAGTTCTTCACATATGAATCTATTTCTTCATGCTTTACAAGAGTGAGAGAATGAGTTAGAAAGCTCTCATCGCAATCATTATTTTACTTTACTGGTAAGTCTTGCACACTCTTTGGACCATTTCATTTTCTCTCATACTTTATTTTAATTTGGGACCCAAATTGTGAAAAATGTAAAGAGTCTAGGTTAAGTGCACCTTCTTATTTAACACGTTCAATTGACTACTCTTGACCTTTGTACCACAATCTATGCAGCCTAGCCAGGCATCCAAGGATGGACCCAATTCCTAGACTTGGGACACTTTCTCACCTTCCTTTCAAATTTTGTTTTGTTGCTTATTTATTTCTTTCTGCCTTATCGTATTTCTCAACCTTTGCTCTTACGTCGATGTATAGTACAATGGACATAGAAATTTTTTTTTT